TCTTACCTTCTCATTAATTTACAGTGCGTCACTCTTTAATAAAAATTTATAATTTGCTTTGTTAAAAACTATGAATTATATAGATGAAATAATTGCTTTAAGTGTGGTCATCACCTCAGCAGTTAACAGTTGAATCTCTTACCTAATGGCTACAAATGTTTGAAAGACCACAAAAAGTGGGTAAAACCATGATTTGGTGAAAAGAGACTTTGGAGTCAGACTTGGGATCAAATCCTTGCTGTGTACCATACCAACATGAGACTGTGGTTAATTAATCTCCATGAGCTTTAGTTTCATCTATAATGTGGAAACAGTAATACTTACCTTTCAGGATTTGGTTTTGTTTTTAAAGATTAGTAAAGTAACATATGTAAGTATCAAACATAGTACCTAGAACATAAAGGCATTTGGTTATTTATACTTGTTACAATTATATAAATATGTCCAATCTATGTACAAAAATGATTTAGATGGCTTATAATAAGATCTACTTTCATAAGTAGAACAAACATGCCCCCTGCAGTCTTAAATAAGGGTGAAGTGCTTTTTTAAGTGCACACTGACTTAGCTAACATTTTTATATCCACTATATGCACGAACCTAAGTACTGGAGATTCGAAATGAGACATAGTTCCCACCCTCAAAGCTCCTATAATTTTTAGAAATTGAACTTCGAACTGCTTTGATGGCAACATAATCTAGTGTTTAAGAGCACAGACTCTGAAACTGTACCTCCTAGATTAGGATTCAGCATGTAATATTCATCTGACTGTGGGCAAATTAACCTCTTAGTGCTCCGTTTTTCTCATCTAGACGATGCGGATAAGATTACTGTTACTTCCCTCTGATGGTTCATCTGTGTTCTTCTGTGAGCTAATATTCATAAAGCATTTAGAATAACGCCTGGCATGTGATAAGCACTGCATAAGCATTAAATGAAAAACATAACACACTGTATCAAGCTTTTGCTGTTTGTGACGGTTTCAGAGGACATCTTTTGATCTTTCACTTTCTTGAACTAGGCTGTACTGATATTGTTTGCTTTCCATATGCTGCCTTATCTGCTGAGGGAAACTAGAGCGTAGCCAGTCTTTTACCACTCTTTCCAAATAATAAAATATAATATTTTAGAATTTTACATCTAATACAAGTCCACATGTACTGTAATGTGTTAATAAACATTACTGTTAAATTCACATCTTTTTTTGAGTCAGTCTGCTCCAAGGAGTTCAAAACTGTGTAGTATCCCCATTTAATCAAAACTAGGAGTAGCTTGCCTCTTATGGCTGGGTACAATCTATATAGAAACAAGAATTCTTATTAGGTAGAGTAATATAAAGTTATTTTTTACCCTTACACAGTAGAATAAATCCAAGTTAAATAATTCATTTCAGTAACCCTAGTGTTGATGTGATATTAATTTTATTACTGATTTGGTTTAAGGCTATTGTATGTATTAAACTATCCATGGCTAATAGTATTGAGGAAAAAATTTATATAGATATTACAACAGTTAATAATTAAAACAAAAACTTTTACCAATATCACAGTTTTCATATATAACTTTTATCTTGTGCTCATATGTCTCAAATATCTCAAACAATTTTTTTTTTTTAATTTACTGTGTGATTACAGTCTTTTAGAAAATCGGTTTCTTGAAAGAAACCTTTCTGTTTGGTCACAAGAGAGACTGTTGTGGTGGGTTGTTTAATTTCTCTTTCGAGCATTATGTTAGCTATGTTCTTAAACCTGTTCTACTTACCAAGTTCCTTGGACTATGTTCCATTACATTTTGAACTTGTAACTTTATTGTGCTTCTTGGGAAGTAAAACACTCAAACACCCCCAACGGATGATTTGCACACTTTGCATTTTATGGTGTGATCAAGATTTGAGTCACAAATGCCAAAATGTCAAGCAAAATGTTTACCAATTTCCAAAGTTTAAAATCCACAAGGAGTAGCAGTAACACGTTCTATTTATAAAAGTGGTTCTTAATGATAGACGTTTTTAAATTGGTACTTATTTTCCAATTAAGTTGGAGGGTCTTGGAGAAGGTGCAAAAATTTGTATTTTCTTGTTATAATGTAGAAATTGATAGTCTGAGACAAATATTTTCTTAATGATTTAGAATGCCAAGTAGTGGTAGAGCAACATCCCTAGTGAGCTTAGAATCTAGTTTTGACATTTACTTTATTCCTTGGTAGGCCACTCTGTTTCTGCATATCATCTGTACAATAACAATAGTAGTAAGAAAAAGTTACCACTTCTTGAGCACACACTGGGTGCCAAGTATTTAATCCTGTAACTCGTCACCCACCCTGTGAGGTTGCCCCTGATATCTCCAGTTTATAAATCCAGAAGCGGAATCTCAGCCCCTTGCGTCCACAGTCCTCCACTGAAGTATTATAGTTACATCAGCCATTTACTTGAATTGACTAGTAGCAAATGAAATTTGGCATTTATTACCGTGAACAAAATATTAGTATGGAACTCTTTCTTTTTTTTTTTTTTTAAATTTTTTTTTTTTTTCAACGTTTATTTATTTTTGGGACAGAGAGAGACAGAGCATGAACGGGGGAGGGGCAGAGAGAGAGGGAGACACAGAATCGGAAACAGGCTCCAGGCTCCGAGCCATCAGCCCAGAGCCCGACGCGGGGCTCGAACTCACGGACCGTGAGATCGTGACCTGGCTGAAGCCGGACGCTTAACCGACTGCGCCACCCAGGCGCCCCAATATGGAACTCTTTCTAGAGGATTCCCTTCTATCAGACTAGTCTCATAGTTGGAAATAGTCTGATAGTTGGAAATCGATGTACTTTTAAAGCAAAATGTCAGAGGAAATTCAATTTTCGTCAAAATCTTTAATTCTGTTAGCTGCTTTCTTGTTAAATTGTTAGAGTTCCTCCTTGTGGTGGGTGGTGCTTTTCAGTTAGTGGGTTCTGATTATTTGAATCTTTGTTATTTACTGCCATACCACAGGTATCTGCAAACTATGGCCTGTTCTATCTGGCCGCCTGTTCTGGTAAATAAAGTTTCATTGGAACACATCACACTTACTTGTTTATGGCTGGTGCAAAGCTGAAAATATTTACTATCTGGCCCTGTATAGAAAAAAATTCTGACCCTTGCTCCACTTCATTCAACAAAATATTTGAAGCAATCGAATGTAATATCTAACCTTAAAGACAAATGGAACTGTCTTTTAAATTTCCCATGTAATTTATACTCTGTATGAGAGGGGGAAGATGTAAAGACTTGAAGTGAATGTAATGTTCACATACATTCCACTCATTTTAAGAATTTGCTCACTGTTGTACCTAAGACTTGGTAGTTAGATGTAATATTGCCCAAATGACTGAATGTATTTTGGGGTCATTGCTTCTTTTGACAAATATTTTTTCTTTCCCACGAAAAGGATAACAAAGAGGATACGAGAGAGATTCAATTTTAATTTACAGAGAAGTAAAATATGGTCATATGTGAGTTTTTGTTTACCTTGTCTGCCCAGAAGGAGCCTGTGCTCATCATGTTTCCAATTAGATGGTTATCTGATCCCTTTAAAAGTAATGTCTGTCCATTCCCTCTGTTGAAGCAAGTAAGTGTCGGTCCCCTTGACACACTCAAGTTTCACGAGCCTTGGGATCTTGAGTCTACTCTTTACTGTAGGTTTCATAATTGATACTGAGAACCTTTTCCCATATCACACACATGAATATAATGAAGGTGTTAGAATAACTTTTGTAGAGATAGCAGAAGAGTACCCTGAGACTAATTATGCATTAAGTTTTTGCTCTGATACTGCTTCCAAAAGAGATTTTTGGATTGGAAAATCTGGAAGATATTTTCCTTTTGTTTTTCATTTTCCTGTTTGCTGACTGTGCTAAACAACAGAAATCAAGCGTTAACTTGTCTTTGTTACTTGGCAGGAAATACCACCATGATGTGGCATTTTCTTGTGTGCTCGATAGCATTTCAGTAGTACACTTCCGACAGTCTTTAACAGTTTGTATTCCTATTTGATGTTTAAGCGGTAAATTGAGTTAAGTTGAAAATATTTTACATGTGTCTGAGATACACTTAGGAAAGTGGGGATAAATGTTAGTTACTGTGGGCTGCACATGTAGAATAACCTAGTAGTACCCCAAAAAGTGTAAGTGAATATAAATTCAGCAAATTTTAATTAAAGAAAATACTTCAAAATGCCAGTGTTCTCAGTAAAAATACTCTAGGGAATATCCATTCTTGGAAGAAAGGCAGTGTTCTATTCAAAAATACACCTGTATACACCACAGAAGAGTAAAGAAGTGGGATTTTTAAAAGATAACACAGATCATCAAAATGAAAAATGAGCTATTGCTTTTCTTAGTAAAAATAAGACATTCTTTCCTACTTTGTTCTTTTAGCAGAGATATTTCTAAAAGTGTTTTAAAATTCAAATGTTTTTATGCTCAAGAAAAAAGTTCTCCTCAACTATGATAGCATAATACTTTTCACAAACCTTCAATTTAATTGTTCCTAAATCTAGAGTACATGGGTGGTAGTAGGGAACATCCCGTGATAGAATATGAATGCCGCCTGCTTTTATGAATGTTGCTGTTTGGTTTTGGTTTTGCTTTGGGTAGACAATTCACACTTTGCGATTGCTTTCTCATTATACAATTGAGTAGTTAATTTCTTCTTTGAATTTTTTAATAGACTAATAAAGTAATGTTTGCAAAGTACCAGCTATGTTGCTTGGCATATAACTACGTTTACTTGTCGCCACTGTATCACCATGAGTATTTAAAGTGATCATTTAGAGCATCTGTTCTGCAAGTAGTTATGCTCCTTTGACTTAGTGCTTCCTGTACCTGATTGATAGTGAACCTCCCTCTCCTGTAGTAGTGGACAGGGTGTGGGGTCAGAGGTGTGTGTGTGTATGTGTGTTGATGATGATAAAACTAAAATCATTAAAATTAGAGAAATTAAACTTTTGGGGGGGGGGTTGTTTTGATGCAGACAGCTTTACTAAACCGCCTGGAGCGAATTTTCGAAGCATGTTTTCCTTCAATATTTATCCCTGATACTGAAGAAGAAGTTACTTCCCTGAAGCACTTGCTGGAAACAAGCACCTTCCCAATAAAAACAAGAGAGGCCTTAGCTGAAAGTGGGTAAGTAGTAGACAGTTTTTAGATAGCATGTATGTTCTTTAGTTTTAACCTTATAAATTAGAACAACAGTTACCTTAAAACATCAGGGTTCTAAAATGTTCTTGTAACATTGTGTTGAAGTTTAAAAAATCATATTGTGCTGAAACAAAACAAAAAAAACCTCCCTATTCCATTTTTGAATGCTTTTTCAAATATTTCTAAATCCTTACTCTCCTCAGTCGATTTTATATATTATCTTTTGACTTCTGAGTATGATAAGTGTGGATTTAGACTTTACATGTGCTCTTCTCCTCCCTTCATCTTCCCTGTATGACTTACATCATAGTTTTTTGTTAAGTTGATATTTGGTATTTTCATTATTTTAATCATGTGAATAGTGTTCATTGCTAAGCCACTATTTCCATTATAGTAAGCTTCTTCTTGGACTTAATAGTTGCCTCTCTCTTTCATTTACTCAGTCTTTTCCTACCCTCCAGGTTATGATCAAACCTGTCAGGCTAGCCATTCCATTTTTTTTTCCCTGAGCCTTCCACCATTCTATCCCAATTTGGGATGGATTCAATCTAGGCTTCTTAAACATGGTGTCTTGGGATTGCCATTCACTTAGAGCCCATATTGGTGGGGCACATCCTCTGATAGCCTCCTGAGAAATAAAGGTACATGGGTAGTAAAATTTTTATTCTACCCTCATGTTAAATTTATAATTTAGGATTTTTTTGTTGTGGGTATTCTGAAATTTCACAATGAAGTATCTTGATATGAGTCTTTATTAATTGGACTGAACACTAGGTATATGACCTTTCAATCTGGAGGCTTCTGTCCTTCAGTATTGGGCAGTTCTCTTGAATTGACAATTACCAATATAATACCAATACAGTTACTTTCCCTCCATTATTTTCTTTCTGGAACTCCTATTAATTATTAGAGGAGCTAGATTGATTATCTAATTTTAATTTCAAAGTTATTATTCCTGGACTTTTGCATCTCATTAGTCCACCTCTGAACATATTCTCTCCCTCTACAAGTCCCTCCTTCATCCCTCTTTGTGACCTCAAAGTTTGTGGTGCAAAGTTTTAGTTATCTCTTAATTTTTTTTTTAATATGGAGATTATGATTTGCTTCTTGGTTTTTTGGGGGTGATTTCTGAGAACGGGACAAAAAGGTTTATGCTTTACCATCTTAAAACTGTTTAGATGTGTTATTTAAAAATATGCTAGTTGTACAGTAGTTCATACTCTGAGACCCAGAAATCTCTCCAAGATTCATTTTGGGAAATAACACAACTCTACAACAAAATACACTGTAAAATACAGGAAGATAATTTGCCTTACTAACAATAGGAGATGAACAGTGAAAATAACTTATTTAAACTATAAGGTTGTGGTCAAATAATGATGCATGTGTCTAACAGAATGTTACATGACCATTGGAAAATGTATACATGTAGATGAGGAAATGCTTAAAATCTGGGAAAAGAATACAAAATTATGTATTTGCTGTAATTGCAGTTGTGTGTTTGTGGATCAAGACTCAAAGAGAAAGCATATTAAATAGCTATAGTAATATGGTGGAATGCTGAATGATTTCTTTCCTCCTCTTAAATATTAAATATTTTTGTTTTAAGGGGTGCCCAGTTGGCTCAGTCAGTTAAGCGTCTGACTTCCGCTCATGATGTCATAGTTTGTGAGTTTGAGCCCCATGTCAGGCACTGTGCTGACAGCTCAGAGCCTGGAGCCGGCTTTAGATTCTGTGTCTCCCTCTCCCTCTGCCCCTCTCCTTCCTGCTCGTGCTCTCTCAAAAATAAATAAACGTGTTAAAAAAAAAAAAAAAAAAGTTTGGTGCTCCTGGGTGGCTCAGTCGGTTAAGCATCAGACTTCAGCTCAAGTCATGATCTCACAGTTTGTGAGTTAAAGCCCCATGTCGGGCTCTGTGCTGACAGCTCAGAGCCTGGAGCCGGCTTCGGATTCTGTGTTTCCCTTTCTCTCTGCTCCTCCCCCACTTGTGGTCTCTGTCTTTCAAAAATAAATAAATGTTAAAATATAAAATTAAAAAAAATATTTTTTACAATTGAAAAAACATACAGGCTAAATTTTGGTTGATTACTGACATACTGTTTCAAATGAGTTTAGCTTAGCTACTAGCTACTTTAATGACTATAAGTGGTGGCAGTTGATTTTATTCAGAAAATAGCTGTATACTCATGTTAAACACAAGATTAACTGGAATGTATAATATTTCACAGTCACATTAAAACTAGGATTCATGGTGAAAGCTATTGAGTAACCCATTGTTGATGGCTTCATCATGACCTTTGCAGGGAACTGCTGGATGTGTGGACCGAGCTACAGGACATCCACGATGCACATGGCTTGAGATATCAGTGGGGTGGCTCCCATAGCAACAAGAAGCTTTTGTGCTCCTTGGGAATAGACACCCGAAACATTGTGAGTTTTGTTAGTACCTTGGAAAATCCTTTAGTGGACCTATGGGTGTTTTTAAATTCTGTTACACTTTTGTTCAAGCTGTGATAAGCTAGTTCCTCAGAAAAATAAATGTTAGTTGGCTTAAATGCTCATGTATTTTGAATATGCCAGCTCTTAAACATAAATGCATCTAAATTTTTCTCCAGTCAATATTTCTTACTTTTAGAAAAGGTTGTTTGTAATGTTTTTCATTAACTATAAAATAGAGGAATTGTAGTAACAGATCCAAAATACAAGCCCATATGGGCAACTTAACAATTTCTTCTATTTATATTTCACAACGTATGCAATAACATGTTAACTGTATCAGTGTATGACATCTCATTCTCTGAACATACATTCTTTTTCTCTAACACACATGTGTAGCTCTTCACGGGTAACAAGAAGCAGCCTGTTATAGTGCCCATGTATGCAGCAGGATTGGTAAGTACAAAATGTCCCTGTACCTATTTATCATTGCTGCATTCATTCTATAAAATTATCTTACGTGGCATGATGTGGAAAGTATATTCTAAGGGGTGTCTAGTGTGGGAACATTAAGGGAATAAGTATTAATATCCTTTTTCATGTCATCCCTTCAAGTCTTGATTTAAGGACATCTTGCTGTATTAATTAAAGACACTGTTTTGTTTTAGATTGAAGATTATCTTTATCCTAGTAATATAGTGCTCATAACTCTTTGTAAAATGTACCTTTAGAGGTCTTGCTTTTTCTTCTTTCCTTCTTGTTTTTCTTCCTAAATTTGCTTTTAAAAAGTGGAAGCTGAAGTATTTGAAGGCTTAGATAGCATTTGTTGTAACCCAGTTGTGATCAGTTTTAAATCATGCACTGTTGAAGCTATGGATGGATGTGTCTTAAAACCTTGGGAATACCAAATGATAGTAATTGAAAATGGGCCAGGACCCATAATCGGTCCTCAGTTTTTTTCCATTAATTTTTTAAATATGTTGAATTTTGTTTTTTCAGATATGCCAGGTAGTCCAGGATAACTGAGGAATTTTCTTTCTGTACCTTCTCAAGACTCAGTCACACTTTGAAGTTTGATGTGTTTGTGTTTTTTGGTGTGTCTTTGAGTTATTGGTGAATTAAATTCTTTCACCAATAACTTTTGAAAACCAGGAAAAATGTTTAAGAAAGAAAAATATAGCTTGGTATGGAATTTATACAACCTTATGTGCATGCAAAAATGAATTTGCTGTGAAATTTGACCTTTTTTAATCTACAAAACTTTTCCATGAATAAGGCCTAATTATTGATTTGAATTGGAATGTTTTACTTTGTTTTGTTTTTGTAGTTTTGTGGAATTAGACAAAAACCTGTGCTTGAATCTTTTTATCAGTTTCTCTCCTTTACAAATGTGACTTACCTTGTATTTTCAAAACACCTTGATTATCCCTATACTGTTTGCTGTTGTGGGTAAATATAATCCAGGACATACTCTAACCTTTGGTTATTTGCATTTCTTTTTTCCTCAAGGAGTAGCCTTCTAGAGGTGGTTGGTGTTACTGTCACATACTGAGGTAGAAAGTATGAATTTAATTTGTAGGAGTTTTCATTCAGCACACTGGGGGCGGTAACCTACTTAATCCTTATGTGTAGGCTCAGGCATGAGCCAGTTCTTTAAATTTTGTGAGGAATTAGGGATATTCTTGCTTTATTTTTCTGCCTTAATTACAATCTTTATTAGCACTAACTCTACCATTTTTATAAGCTTTTAATACCAAAGTTGATTTAGTGAATACATCTCTCCTCCTCCATCTTTATGATGCCTTATGTTTAGAAACATTCTTTTTCATATCTGGTTTCAGATTTTAATTATACCTGAATTTTTCCCATGGTGCTTTACACAGATAAGGTGTTCAGTATCTTTTGGTCTCATCGGAAGCAGTAGTACCTGAAGTGGTCAGTTAAGTCACTGGTTCTCAGACCTTAATATGAATCAGAATTGGAGCACCTGGGTGGCTCTGTCGGTTGAGCATCCAACTTCAGGTTGGGTATAATCTCACAGTTTGTGAGTTTGAGCTGTGCATCGGGCTCGCTGCTGTCAGTGCAGAGCCTGAGCCCACTTTGGATCCTCAGCCCAAGGATGTGTTTATGTTTTTGGATTCCTTCAGATCCTCTGCCCCCCCCCCTCTCTTTCTGCCCCTCCTCTGCTCTCACTCTTTCAAAAATAAAACATTAAAAAAATACTTTATAAAAAACATGCATCAGAATTGCTTGGAAGATGTATTAAAACAGAATGCTGGGCACCATTGAGTTTCTTATTCAGTAGGGGTGGGGTTACGTATCTGACGAGTTCCCAGGTGATGCAAAAACTACTGATTGGGGACCACTTTGAGGACCACTGATTTAAGTGATAGTTGACATTAGAAAAGTTGGCTAAGGTTGGTAATTGTTTGCTGAATGCATGGTCTCTTTACATAAGGGAACACTAGAAAGCGTGCAGAATGTATATGCTGATGAGTCAGACCACGAATTTATTTTCATTCAAGCTTTGGAGGAAAGCCTTTTATAAAATATCGTCGTTAAGAATGGAATTTGTGTGGGGCACTTGGGTGGTTAGCGTCTCTTAATTTCGGCTCAGGTCATGAATTCATGGTTCTCAGGATTGAGCCCTGCGTGGGGCTCTGCTCTGACAGCATGGAAGCTGCTTGGGATATATTTCTCTCTCTCTCTCTCTCTCTCTCTCTCTCTCTCTCTCTCTCTCTCTCTCTCTCAAAATAAACTTAAAAAGAAAAAGATTGCATCTATAAATTGCTTTAGTTAGCATGCACCCTATCTTTTTTTTAAGTTTGAGAGAGCGTGAGAGAGAACGAGCAGGAGAGTGTCAGAGAAGAGAGGTGGGGAGAGAGAATCCCAAGCAGGCTCTGCACTGTCAGCTCGGAGCGCAGCACAGGGCTCAAGAGAGCCGTGAGATCATGATCTGAGCCAAAACCAAGAGTCAGACGCTTAACCAGCTAAGCCACCCAGGTGCCCCAGCATATACCCTATTACACGAAAAGAGGAGAGATTGTCCTGAAAACTTGTTTTTAGAAATTCACAGATTCTTACAAAAAAAAGGGGGGGGTGGATTTTACAGATTCTAGCCTTACAAAGCTGTCTTAGCAGTTTTGATATTTTCCCCCCCAGTAAAGGGAGACTTTTGTGTAGTCTGGTTGATAAATATTCAAGAGTTTATCAAGTGTTATTTTAAAATGTGTTAAAACTTTTTTTGGCAGGCCATTAACCTGGATGATTACCCATTGTTAGTAGTGTTTGGTAGAGTATTGATGCAAACTGCTGATTTTTTTTTTCCTTCTTTATTTCTACCTCCATCCTCAGTGCCTTCCTTTCTTACTCAAAAAGTGTGTTAGATTTTTAACACACGTAGTGGAACATGTAAGATGTTTTCCCCTCTGAAATGGCTGTTTCTCTACTATGCCAATTCAAGGAACTAAGTATGAAAGCTCCCATCCTCTAGTGGTGATAGGCTCAAATACTAAACATACACTGAAGCATGTAGACCCCATCACATTAGATGATGTGTTTTAGGTGTGCAAAATGGTTTGATGCTAATCTAGCTGCATTTCAGGGACGAGAGAAGCAGAGAACTTCTATGCTGCTCCATCATCTTGGCCCCTCCAAGAGTGCCACTCTCTAGATGGTGTGTTTTAGAATTCTCACTTCTCCAAGCACCACCATGGTGTAATGGGTACAAAGGATGTCCTTTTCTGTTTCAGTGTCTGAAACGTCACAAAAGTGTTGGATTCTTAGGGCCTGCATACTATATACTGTTGTGCTTGCCTCTTCCCCACCCCTGGCATTCCAAATTGCTTATGCTTTTGTATAACAGTGATAACTAGGCACTTTAAAACAAATCTGATTTAAAATACAAGGTCTTGCTTCAAAAGTTTGGATTCCAAAGGTACTATTGTAAAACATTTTCCACTACAGTGCTATAAAATTTTCTCTAAACAAAATTTAACAGTAGTTCCTTTTTGTCTTTAGCACTTTCCAAATGACTTGGGTTTTTACTTTGTGCTACATTGATTTTTCTCATGAAGTTTGAGTTGATTTCTCCCCCTCCCCATTAATGGCTAATATGCCTTTTTCAGGGTATGTTAGAACCCACCAAGGAACCATTGAAACCACTATCTGCTGCAGAAAAAATCGCTTCCATTGGTCAGACAAACACCATGTCACCAGAAATGAACACATGTACATCTGACCAATTTCAGGTAAAAATATCTGTGTATTGATACATTTATGCATGTATACACACATACGTCCAGAGTGTTTCCCTTAAGTATAAATTTTAGTTTAAAATATGTAAAAATTTTGACTTCATGATGGACATGATTTTGATTACTTATTAACATCCCTTGGAATACAATTAACAAACTATCTTTAATTTTTAAAAAAGGCACACTTGAGCACTAGCTGGTTATGTGTAAGTCCTTTAAACCTATCTAGGCCCTAGTTTCTTTACCTATAAAATGAAGACTTTGTGAAGCGCAGGCATCTCTAAAAACCCCTTACAGCTTGAACATTGTATGATCATAATTACTGACATACCAATCTGGTAAGTGCTGATTTTCAAAAAAATTGGGAAATGGTACATTGACACCGACTCTTCAAATCTGCTATTGTGTGTTTTCCCCGAAACCTGCAAATTTTATTAAGTAATAAAATTGATTGCATCAAAAACTGTTGTTTTGAGAGTTTGAATAAAAGTTATTTAAGTTGAAAATAATGTGGCCTTTTACAAAACATTCCGGATTCAGAAGAAAAGAAAGCAGTCTTTCTTATCCTTTACCTCCTTGGCATCATTAAGCACAAATTTTTTTCAGTCTAATATAGTTAATAGCAGAGCCTTCCCCCTCACTTTTTTATCTGTGGAAAAATTTGCTTACTCCTCTCACATCGTTAGAAACTGACTGAGTGCTGGTTAAACATTTTTTTTTAGAAGATTAATATTTTTAAGTGAACATTACCATTTGTAAAACATTCTTGCCATGTTATTTTTTTTTTTTACCTTAAGTATCATCTTTAGTTATATCTAACACAAAAGTGTGTATTTGGACAGCTTTTCCCAAAGTGTGTGTTCTTTGAACACTAACCCCCAGAGATGCTCTACTAAAGAAGGGTTCCAGGGGGAAGTAAGTTTGGAAAATTTTTCATACATACCCAATAACCACCCTTGAAGATTCTCAGCACACATATTAAGGTCTCTGGAGTATCCTGCAGTAAATAACCCTATTTAATTTTAATTATTTCTTAAATTTACTTGGCCACAGGGACCAAGGGAAAAGGAGTCATAACACCCATTGAACTAGAATTTTGAAGAATATACTTTAGAAAACAGTAACATAAAGCAAAGTCCTACCCTTTCAGCTGTGTTTCAAGGAACATCTGATATTATGGCTGTGTACCACTGTGGTTTATACTTAGCATAGCTTAAACATCCCTTTGAAGCCACTTCATTACTAGCACTGAAATAGTGGGCAAGGAGGCCTGAAACATAAAATGCCTGGCCTTATTGATGGTTGGCAACAGGCAAAGTGGTTTGGGCAAATTTGTCTCCGTAGGTAGAATCTGTCCTTAGTTCTGTTCCTTTAATTGTCCTTACATTGTTCTCTGGCTCTTAGCTTCCTTCTCAGGCCTGCCCTACATAAGCAGATCCCAAAATTACTTCTCCCATAGCACATTCCCACTTCTGCCTTAAGGCAACATTTTTATTCCTACAGTGTGAGGTATTAGGAAACTAACTTGAACTACCTGGTTCAGACTACCTGGCACATTTACTGAAAATGAAGCCATTCTTGCTTGAGGCCACTTGTTGCTCGTTTTGCCTGCTGCCTCCTCCTCCTCTTCTCCATCCAACCACTTCTCTGTGTTGCACCCCATAAACTATTGCTTATTTTATCAGAGTTAGCTGTCACTTGTCATTTTTGCCCCTAGTTGGTTTAGTTGATCTTACATATTCTAGTCACCCCTCATACTTACCATCTTTCTTGTAGAATTCAATTATAAATGACTATAAGTCTTAGATGACCTAATAAAAAATATGTATGTTAATTTAATGGAACTTTTAATGGAAACTAAAGTGTATTAATTTAATGGAGGTTAATCAGGGCTCCATGATAGGTGTTTAGCTGCTGCTGTGTCTATACATATGCATACACCCATATGTATACTTATAATCCAAGGACTGCTGTCCCCCTTTCTAGTCAAGTATAGAAGTTCTCAGCAGCATTTAAGCACATCTAACTTCTTTGCTAGAAGATGGAACTTGGTCTCTTGCTAATTATGTAAAAAAAAAAAAAAAAAACTCTTTAATCACATGCTTTTATTCTCTTTAGTGCATACATCTCTTTATTTAAAAAATACACAAATATTAAGTACCTTTTGGGGTTTGTGATCCTCATTAGCTTAAGTTTTTAGGCTTTTTGGGAGCCAATGAAAATATCTCCCAATCGAAGTTCACATTTTTTTTTTTTTTTAATGCTTATTTTTGAGAGAGAGAGTGAACGGGTGAGGGGCAGAGAGAGATGGAGACACAATCTGAAGCAGGCTGTAGGCTCTGAGCTGTCAGCACAGAGCCCAATGTGGGGCTCAGACCCACGAACCACGAGATCATGACCTGAGCTGAAGTCAGATGCTTAACCGACTGAGCCACCCAGTTGCCCCTCAAATTTATTTCTGAATCAACTTAAGCCTTTGTAGGCCTTCATTCTACATGAAGCATGTCAGCATACAGACACTCAAACTGAAGACTTCATACACGTATCAGAAGGCACCTCAGCATACCTTCTTCACTAAATTGTATGATCTTTGCTTGGCTCCATACTCCTGAATATTTTAAATGTTTTAGAAACATCTAAAGTACATTGTAAGATTCTCTTTATGTAAAGCAATATTTCTTACCACTATTCTCTGGCAGGCAGTGTGTGTATTATTTTTACTTTACGTTTTGGCCATACTGTAATACCGTTACATCTTTCCACTAGTCATGATATCCGGAGGAAACAGCCATAGCCTTTAGTACTAGAAGTTCAACAAAATGTGTCAGGAAAGATCTGTTTAATACCTTTTTTTTTTTTTTTTTTTTTTTTTTTTTTTTTTTTTTTTTTTTTTGGTCAACTATACACCATACCTTCCTTTTATGTTTTTTTATTGGCATCACTAACAGTGACTTCCAAACTTACCATCATTGTATAATTCTCATTACGACTGCCTGCTTTCTGATCTGGCTCAATCTGGGTACCCATTGGATTTTTATTGTTTCTTCCAAATTAGTTTATACCATTGCATCTCTTGTTTAGGAGGTTAATGACTTATTTAACAACTGTTCCTGGTGTTTTTTTCTAGGATACTTTTACCTGAAAAAAACAGCTTGTGGGCAAAAGGCAGTAATGATACTTTTGTTGTTTTGTTTTTTTTTTTTAAATCTTTATTCAGTGAATGTCAAGGTCACATCATTCATGGTGCCATTACTGATTCCCCTATTACTTAGCAAGATCAGTACATTAACCACACTTTATCCACTGCTGAATTGAGTCAGCGCTCTGGCTAGCAGTTATCTAGCTAGTCACTATTAGAAAATTTCCTCTTAGGCTTCTGGATGTGGCTATTTCATTTGTGAATCAGAATTTTATTAATTTTTTTTAAGTTTATTTTTTGAGAGAGAGCACAAACAGGGGAGGGGCAGAGAGAGAAGGAAAGAGAATCCCAAGCAGGCTGTGCACTGTCAGCACAGAGCCCAGTTTGGGGCTTGAACTCATGAACTGCGAGATCAAGAGTCAGATGCTTAACCGACTGAGCCATCCAGGTGCACTGTGAATCAGAATTTTAAAGTTAGAAGAAAGAAAAAAAAATTGTGTAGCACTGTGCTCTTTTTACATTAAGAGAATATATTTGGAAAGGCTAAATGATGTACCCAAAATCATACATCAGTGGTACAGCTGGGACTAGAACCCAAGTCTCTGGTTTCTAGTTCCCATTGTTTTTTTTGGGGGGGGGAGTGGCGGGGGGTTGCTCTTTTTTTCTTAATCGGTATTCTTTGTCTTTATTAACAAATGACATCCATCTACATAGAAAATCCCAATGAATTTACAAAAACAGTAATACCAATAAGTGAATTTAGCAAAATTTCAGGCTGTAAGATCAATATATAGAAATGAACTATATTTCTATGTATACTAAAAACAAGTGATTAGGAACAGAAATAAAAAAACATGCTATTACCAAAGCAACAAAACCATGAAATAAGGATAAATCTAAAGGTACTTAATTTTTTTTGTTTAATTTGAAGTTTTTACTTAAGTTCCATTTAGTTAACATATAATGTTTTTGCTCTTTTTATTATTACCTTTTCTTCCCTAGTGCTTAGTCTCTACAGTAATCATACCTCATTGCTTAAGTTTGTTTTAAAATGCTTCATTCAGTGCTTTCTCTTTAAGAAGTCTTCCTTGGCAATGCCATTAGTTAGCTTATAATTGCCAACGTGTCCTGTTTTACTTCTGTCTTATTTCCACTAAATGTTGAGCCATGTTTTAGCACCTCATTGTTATAATATTGGCTGTTATAATATTGGCTGTGTCTTCAAAATGACCTATATCTGGATGAGAATCTAAAATGCCTAGCAAATCATTGAAATATTTCTAAGCAACCGGTTACTTGACATCATTTAGATAAAACATGTTAATGAAAGAGCTTTGCTCCATTTAACCAGAAATTTTGTTATTGCATAAACTTGAGTATTGTCCATCCAGTCACTATTCAGTAGGACTAAAGGTTTCAGTGATCTCTAAGTAAAATAATAGTTGAATCTGTTGGAATACTTACCCTTTTTGATGGTTTCTGAGATCAGCTAAAGATCTTTTCTAAGTGTTTATCACTCTTGCAGGTAGGTTATAAACTAGATTTTCACCAGCATTATTAATTTTATTTGAAATAATTAAAGATTCACAAGAAGTTGCAAAGATAGTATAGAGGAGATGCTTTGTACCCTTCACCAGTTTCTCTCCCTAATTACAGCTTACTAATTATAGCATAATATCAAAACCAGGAATATGACTTGATTTCAATGTGTGTGTATAGTTCTATGCCATTTTATCACATGGATAGATACGTGTAACCACCACTGCAATCAAGATACAGAACTCTTCTATCACCATAAAGAATTCTTTTAATAGCCCTCCCCACCCCCAACTATCCCTAACCCCTGGCAACTACTAATATTAGCATTTTGCTTTGTTTATACCTCCCTCCTAAATCTCCAGACCTGCTTTAGGGAAGACTAAATGCTTATAGTAACATGCTTATCATTGGTATCCCAATTATCAAGGCAATTGTATTATAATATCATGGAATTAGACTTTCAAAGATAACCAATTCATGCTCCTTTCCTACAGGGAACAAGTCTTTACCCAGAAAAAAAAAATGAGTATAAAGTTGTAATATCTACCTTACAATAAAGCATAGTGGTAAGCACTACCAAAAAAAGAGACAGCAACATGTTGGTATTAAGAGCCTTCTAGAACACAGGTTATTTCAGTAACTGTTGTCAATACCACCCCAAAAATAAAAGAAGAAAGAAAACTAAGAATCCCAATTTTTTCTTGTTAAGACTACTCTTAAAGCAATGATCATTTTTAAAATATTTTGTACCACCTTCCATCTCACATGTACTATTTGCTCAATTTATGTGTTTGACAATTAACAAAATCTTAAAACCTAGACTATGCAAATGAGCTCTGAGTATACTTTTAAGTACATTATTTTTAAAATTAAATTCTGATACTGATTATAAGTGATTTCTAAGTTAGAGAAGTTGATTTAATTTTTTTTTATTTTAAATGTAGTTCCTATTTACTGGCCCATAATTTTCTTTGTAGTTTGGGCAATTGTAAAGAACCAGAGCTCTTGGACTCTAAACTTTCTCATTTTATCTGTAAAGGGACCAGTTAAATTAAACCACACGTGATCATACAACTAGTTAATTAGCAGTTACTCGGTCTTGGATAACGCAGATCTCCTCCTTTTCAGTATGGTACCTTCTCTATTGCTTTAGACCATCTACTGAGAAATTTTAAGTGGCCAGTCATTTAATATTAAGTAGATCACTCCAGTGAAAAAAGTCAGTGATTTTTTTTTAATATTTGTATTATAATCTAGCCAGTAGTTTTCAACCGTAACTTGAGAATAGATTGAAATCTTGACATAGAGTCAGTCCATAAGTATGTTTGAAAATATAAAAGTAATTCCATTTCTCAGTTTTTCTTAATATCAATAAGCTGTACTGTTTGTCAGTTTTTCAATTTCAGTTTGTGTTCATATTTTTAGATAATCTTCCAAAACTGTAAATTATCCCAGTTTTGTCTTTAGGTACTTCATTGCCTAATGATCTTGCTATAATAGTTTTTTGTTTTGTTTTAAGGATTCTTTACGTTGCTACAGCCTGTACTGATTAATTTTGATTTTTTGGTTTTCAACTCTAGGAGTCTCTACCACCCGTCCAGTTTGACTGGAGTAGCAGTGGCCTTACTAACCCTTTAGATGGTACGTCTCTCCGTAGAGCCTCTAGCACCAGAGCTAGAGTTAAGAAAGCTACAAAGTTCAGACAAACTTCTCTCTGCTGATTTCCTTTTTTGTTTGAACATAACTTCTTATTCTTATCTTTGGAAATTCAGGCTTTCTTTCTGAATAGTAATTGCTCAAAAAAAAAAACAAAACAAAACAGCTATTACTGTTATTAACAGTATTAATGTCCAAATTCAGGTAGCAGTAGAGGTAAAATTTTGATTTCTTTATCTTACGTAAAAAGCTTCTTTATTTTTTACAATATCTAAGTAGTTTAAATGATAGGTAGGACCAGTTCACTTGAAATCTGTTTCTGTAGTTTTAATTTGTGGAATTTTCTTGGATGCAAAGTCTTGTGGCTAGAGGCTGCTTAAAAAAAGCACAAAGCACAATTATATAACCAAAAACAATGTGCAAATAGATCCATATTTATTGACTCAAAGTAGTTTTCAGATTTAATAATATTTTATAGAGCACTTATTATGCAAATGGAAAATGAATGATTTTCATGATCTTTTTCTAAAATTTATCTCAACGTACTAGTAGGTAGTTGTAGAAATAATTGGTTTCTCTCGTGGCTTTAAGAGAAAATCCTCAAAAAGGAATAACTTATTCTAGTAATGTGGGTCTTTCAAATGCTACTTTTCCAGTGTGTTGACACCACAAATTTTAATTGGATCTTAAGATACAATTACCCTTATTCCTTACACTTCATAAGCTATTTGAGCCATTGTCTAATACACCTGTCGCTCTATCAGCTTTACCTTAGACTGGGGGTCCTAGGACATGGAAAGCATCCAATTGAATACAGTGCTGAAGGAAAGCCTGGATGCACCTTTTGCTGTTGTCTGGTGTCTTATTCAGTCAAATCATCATGCTTTTTATTAACAAACAACTTCTTTAAAAATGTATACTATTTCTGATTACTGTTTCAGAGTTAAAGGGGAACAGTACAGCTTGAGGTTGCACATCAGGGTAGGGCAGTTATGACATTCCTTCTTAATTTTAATTTAGACCAAGTTAATGTATTGGTGTGTATCCTGAAACTGACAACTTTGTCACTTTTTAAAAATCATTAATTAGAAACCAACATTACTAACAAGGAAGATTGATTTGGGCATGTACAGTGACTTAATGTTGGGTTGAGATTAAAGTATTGTTTCCCTTTAACGGGTACACTTTCCCCTTGGTCTTTCTGGTATGGCTTCGAGTTTTGATTGAAAGAACTGAACTCCTAACTAAAACCTGACTAAGTGTTAAATTATTTACTTTGTACATGAGAAAATGTACATTGGATTAAACTGTTACTTTAGAAATGTCCTTAGTAATGAAAAACTAATACTGTACACATTGTTTTAATGTTGATTTTAAAATGTGTAATGACTACTAATTATAACCTGCATGTTCAAGTGTGTGTCTTACCCCTTTTTACACATAACCCCTCCTCCCTTGGCTTACCTTCTGTGTGGCTGCCCACCAACATGGTCACTGAATTTCAAGCTAGTGGAGGTTCCACTCTTCTGAACCTTGATTTCTTTGGGCCCGTGGATGACAGTAGCTCTAGCAGCAGCACCACAATCCCAGGTCAGCAGAGTGTTCAAACCACAATTCTAGTTTAATTACTAAAAAGCATGACCACACCACGTGACTTTCCTATAAACAAGGAAGCGAGTAGATTGTATTCTCTCTAATATCTTTCTGATACTTTTCTTTTATCTGTCTATTGTTATTTCCTAGTATCTGATGATAACAACTGACTTCTGTGAAATGTGTCTTAAAGAAAGCTTTCTAAGTGTAATATTCAGAGCTGAAAGTAATTTCTAGGAGTAAAATGGCCCTAATGTCGTTAGTTAAGAGCGGGGTTTGTGGTTTTTTTTTTTTTCCTGTAAATGGAAAATGTGATATTTTATATGCTTATTTTTACAAGCATATTCTATAAAGCCATTTGAGAAAATACAGGTTTAGAGATATAAGAATATTTTAGTATACAAAGATGACTTTACGTTGTAGTGCCTGTGATAATAGAACCTTTACAAGTTCTAGCATTCAGTTAGTTGTTTATTACTGCTAAGTGTATAATTAGATTCCAAAATGTTAGTCTAGCACTTAGTTATATATAGGTCCCACATAGAACTATTCTGTAGTTTTCATGTAGCTCTTACATAGAAAGTATTCTGTTAGTTTTCCATGAAGAAAAAAATGTTACAGAAGCTAATAGTAGAAAATAATTGCTATGAGATATTAAAAGCTAGAAATTAAAACTTACTGGAGTGCCTGTTAAATTAATGTTCAGCCCTGCGAAGTTCAGTTTATTGACCAAAGGACTAATGTACTTTGTCATTTTCTAACTGAATAAAAGATTAAAATATAATGGCATTTTTATGTTTACATTTTATTCAATATAATTTTAATGAGTCCCTGTCATCCTGCCTTGTGATCTGGTAATCATGCCCATTGATCACCAGACAGCTGTTGGGGTGCTATATAGATGCTGATGCCCAGAATGCATAGCGAGGATCCCTCTCCATCCCCACTAGCAGTCAGTTACACAGCCAGCCTGTTTCCTGAGAATTTGCTGGTTTTGTTCTATTCCACTTGAATATACCACCCTCTTCCAGCAGTTTAGGAGCCATGGTGGGAAATGGGGGAGACCATACAAGTCAGATAAGGGTGAGCCTGGAAGCCAGAACATCCTTCTCCAAAATCTGGTTATGGAACACTGATCCTACTGTAAGGAAGTTCTAAGGCCATTTGGTAGAATGACTGGATTTCTCAAACCTAAGCCCCTGGTTATCATTTTCGTTATTTCTGAGATTTTTGTAAGCATATGAAAAACCAATCTGTGTCTGGTTTTGACTTCCAAATGATATTTTACTGTTTACTCCAGTTACTTCTAAATACATTTGAGCTATCAAATGACCTGGGTGAGCCTAATTAGCTGTTTTTAATACTTAATTGGGGGAAGAAAAGACAACCAAAAACTTGTGTATCAGTTTCCTCATTACTGTGTTCCTAAGAATGAAATACCAAGCTCCCATTTTTAATTTGCTCTCAGATTTGTTTTGTCATGAACCATACTGTAATTTACATGAGGTCGCTATTTTTGGACACCTAAAACCTGGTTTAAACTTAATTCTTCATTACATTTCAAACTCAGTTGAAAACCATCCATAACACAAATAATCTCACCATATAAAGAAGTACAGAAATCACCTGATAACCAGGCTCAGTATACACAACTTTGAGAAGAGCAAGTGGTTTCAGAAGCTTAGAGTTGTAATAGAAGTGAAATTAGCATGCTCAAATGCGGTCCTCATTACTTTGGAACCTTTTAAATAATTTTGTTCCATATTTTCATTAGTATGCTCTAGCTGCTGTGTAAACTTGATTACTATAAATTTGCTTTGGCTTCTTTTTATTGCTATTGGGTTTTGTTAAAACTTACCATCAAGCTACAGGTATCAGCACCTTTCTCAGTATTCCATTTCACCACTTGCTTGCACTTTTTCTGACTTGTTTCTGGGAAAGTCATTTTGTCTTACTTAGCTTGCGATTATTTAATTATTTTGTGTGTGAGAATTAGGAGGTTGGCATAGAACTTGGTTGGCTAGCTTTATAGTTATTTATACTATGCCTCATTAAGGTTCTGTAAAGTAAAAAAAAGAAAACAAAAGAAAAAACAAGCAAACTCTTCCATTAAAAAAAATTACTCCAATTTTTAGTGTAGAATAGTTATCTTGTTTTTGAAAAATACATAGTCCTGGTACTTTTCCCTTTTTTTTTTTTTTTTTTTTTTTTTTTTTTTTTTTTTTTTTTGTGATGGTCATTGTTTTAGGCTGGGGCGGTGGGTGTTCTCTCTCTCTCTCTCTTTTTTATTTCCCACTTTATTCTTTGACAGCCAAATGGCCAGTATTTTATAAACCCAACCAAATTTTTACTACCACTTTCCTGTTGCCAGTTGAAATGCAGTTGTTTACTCTGCATTATATATTAGACATCAGCTTAAATTTTGTGGTTACTTGGAATCCAACCTTTCACAGTGGAGGAAGGAGGTACTTTGGGTTCATTTGGTCCCTTACAGGCATCTACAATTATTTAGATTTTAATTGAAACCTACATACTTCTAGAAATACTAATAAAAGGCCTTGTTAAGTATATTTTGAAACTGTACCTTAATGAAATATTAAGAACTTGGGAGAGTCAACAAACATTTTCTATAGCCTTCCTCCCTTGTTGGACATGATAACTGTGGAAGCTGCTTTTGCTTGTTTGATTTCTGTAAACATCTGAGATCTGTTTTTACATCTGCTACTCATCTGCAAAGGTGGTTAATAGAAGGCAGTTCCTGATTTCTTTTTTCTTACCCTTAAAATATCTTAAAAGGAGGAAACTTATAACATCAGTATTTATATGTATATGTAACTTTATCTGCTGATCTTCAGAACTTTTTAGGAATAATAAGTAAAAATTGATGAAACTGTAAGATATTCTTCCTTACAATCTGCTTTTCTCTTATTCTGAAACTTTTTATCTCCAGTAACTTGCTGGTACCAAAGAGAGTATAGGATTAATAGGTTTTTTATTTGAGTCTTTATTATCCAACCTTTAGCCTGAATCAAAAATATCTAATTGTTCTTTTCAGTGTTTTTATAGTCATTGTTATTTAATATAAATCTGTATTCAAGGGAAATATAAAAATATATGTGCATATTTTAGTGAAGTCAGATGGAGAATTTTTATAGACTTTTATAATCTCTCTGACCTCATCTTTATTTTGAATTATTTAAACAAGATCAGATATGAGACCATAGAAATATAATTAACCCTTGAGACAGTTTTCATTTTGTCTAAAAGTTGTGCTTTTATTATATTTTTCTGGGAATATTTAACCCTCCTTCTTACCTGAAAAAACAACGTGGTATATAATTTATCATTAGTAATAATTTGATGCTGTGAGTAATGCTTCATGTCCTCATGGTCAGAATATATTTAACTGAGTCATTTACCATGTTTGAGACTTGGCTGTTAGCTTCCAAATCTTTTGGTGAGGAGTAAAGTAATGGAGAAAAGATGGTTGGAGAGGGAAGTTCCAAAATGAGGTTAATCAGTACATTTGAACATTGAAATGTCATGTAACAAACGTGAACTCTATGAAACATGGATAACTTTTATCGCTAACTAATCTAAAATTGAGGGAGTTTTCCATAGCAGATAGAAATTTTAGAAATAATTGCGTGATAGCCACTACCTAAATGTTAGATTAAGGCTAAAGTACTTTCCTACTTCATAAAAACTCTGAAACATGGAATCTCTAATGTAAAAAATAAATTCAGTACTACAGTAGTCTAAAGATGTGCTGTGCTTGGAAAAGACTCAGATGTTTACAGAATAATTGCCTTTTGCATCTTGGACTGTAGCTAATTGAGTAACCTATTGCAGCTTGCCATCACTGACTGTCATTTTATACTATAAGGTGTGGATCCAGAGTTGTATGAGTTAACAACTTCTAAGCTGGAAATCTCCACCTCAAGCCTCAAAGTGACTGATGCATTTGCAAGACTCATGTCCACAGTAGAGAAGACAAGCACATCTACCAGGTAAACAGCTAGGGTTCATTACACCCTATTTTGAATTCCGTGTTTAACAAAACTGCCTAAATGGGAAAGCGAATAAGTTGACAGTATTTCAATATTAAATGTGTATTAAAATTCGTGTTGTATTTATAAAAATCAGTAGATGCCTAATTCCAGAAAACAGTTATCAAACTATGTTTAATATGAACTTTATTAGAGCAGAGCTATTTCATAAGAGGCTGGAAAGGGCTGATGACAGATATGTTTTTCTCTTTTTTACTCCACCCTCCAAACTTCAGAGAGGAGAATTCTGATTAAGTATTGAGACCATAAGCCACTGTAGAAACAGTCCCTCTTTCTCTTCATAACCATTGAGATGATCGTCTGTGGGAACCCACTTTCACACTCCCAGAGTCATGTAGGTTCATCTTTTGAGTCCTGGCTTAAGATGGAGTAGCGGATGCTACTATTTTATTTTCTTCATTTTTGCTGATATGCAGCACCTCTGATTTGGGATGTGAAGGCTTGCTTTGCCAGGCTTTCTGGGAGGCCAGGGGCGTGGCCTTTAGAAAAGCAGTTCTCTCTCCGTGTCGGAACCAGATATAAGGATTGTCACTTGGGCCTTGTGTTTAGGATTCAGGAAACCTTTAGGTTTACACAATTTAGCGCTGGAATAATAAGCCATTGCTTTGACATGTGAGCCATGAGAATAGGCCGGTTCCTAACAAGAAATAGTCATTGCGAACCAGGAAATCACTACTGCAAGAGCAAATTCTGGTTGATAGGCCTACTGATGCTGCTGTCCCAAATCCATTCTTCATCAGCGTCTTCAAGTGGAAATCTTGATCTGTTAGCTGCCCACTTTGGCAGAAGTATTATAGCCCTTAGTCCTAAATAAAAACATTCCTCTTGTCAGGTTCAGATTTATCTTTTGAATCAGTTCTTCTATAGAAAAGGATCCATTTAAAAAAAGCCTTTTTGGGGGGGTTCTTGGGTGGCTCAGTCTGTTAAGCATCTGACTCTTGATTTCAGCT